TCGAACCTCTTTCCTTGAAGTTCTTGATGATCCGGTAAATGGTTATTTCAGGTGCAATATTCTTTGATTTTGATGCAATTTTGATGCAAAGCGATGATGGCTGCACGTATTTCTTTGGAGGTAACCATTGCTAACAAGACACAATGATTGGAAGCGCTTCTTCCCTCCTTTTATAGCAATCAGTCTGCTCTTACAATCTAATTAGTATGATAGTGATTTTACCTGACTAGTACTCATTCACACTTTCACATGTGCTGCTGATATGATTAGTCAATGAATGTTAGCTGGTCATTTTGTGTCAGGATCAAAAAACAGTGAAATTTGTTTTTGTTTTTTTGTTGTGAAAAGTTCATTTTTTGGCCAATGACGCTTTTAGCAATTATTTAAAATGCATCTGATCACTCTACACAATAATCTAGAAACAATGTGAATGAACACCACAACAGCTTAAGCTGCAAACTTTGCAAAACACAAAATGTATGTCACTGCCAAAACTTTTGGCCATGACTGTAGAGAAACCAAGCAAAGGGTGCTCCCCTTACAGCACAGTACAGTTTCTGTTTCTGCCCCAGCAGGCACAGCAGAAAAATACAACTAGAATTATAATTTTAATAATACTTTATACTGAACATTTTTTATTAACTGACTTTCTTTAAATGCAGTACAGGTGATGACCGTCTGCATTATGTGATTCATTTACAACTAAAAAATAAAAAATAAAATAATGCCTATACCTCAAAAATATGTTTTTTGTATTGCAGTGGTGTTTCATTCACCCTCTCTTCAACATCAAAACAAAATAGTTTTAGAAATAAAATGTTATTGCTGATGCCATGAGGCCATTACCATTTTAATCATGTAGTGAATGATATGACCAGTTTATAAGACAAGAATATACTGTAATCGAAAGGTTTCAGAGACAAACAAACGTGCACGCATGTGCACACACACACGTATAAACATGCACCTGCAGCTCTGTGGTTTTCTGTCAGGAATTCTGTGGTTTGAAGCAAGAGGTTTAACAGGACAAATAACAGATGAACATCAACTGTCTGACAGACTCTCTTATTAATGGTATTAAATGAGATTGATGGCTCATGTCTCACCCCTCTGAGTGAAGTGATTGTGTCTGTGTTGAATCTCCTCATAAACGGCCTCAGTCGTCGTCCTGTGTCTCCTCTTAGAGAGAGCTGTGAGTGCAGACAGACAAACCTGCTGTCAGTTCACAACACATGACTGATCACACACTGTTAAGTCTCTGGATCTCTCCTACCTCTCCTCATCACTCTGTTCTGCTGAATCAGTATAAGCAGTGGCACTAAGAGCAGTAAGAGCACAACTCCCAGTACAATCACAAGCACTGGGGGGACGGAGAGAGACGCTGCTGGGGGAGTTTGTGGAGGAGCGACTGATGTTGAGCGCACTGGAGGAGAAACTGGAGGAGAAGCTGATGTTGTTGTGGCAGGAGTAGTGGACACTAACACATCTGGCAAAACAGACACAAACACATTCAAAATTATGAATACATAAAATGATCTAAAAATGAACATTATTCCTCAGTGTTTGTTGTGACCTGCACAGGTGAGTCCAGCGTGCTCTTTGCGGGAGCAGTCAGTGTGGTTATTCAGGGAGAGAGGACAGTCCCACAGGTGAATCTCATTCCCTCTGCATTCAACTTTGTTCAGCCACACAACACCTTCACCAGCACTAATTGTTGAATTCCCATCAGCCCTCAGTGCTGCTCCACAACCCAGCTGCCTGCAGACCACCTGAGCATCGCTGATGTCCCACTGATCATCACAGACTGAGCCCCACACAGCGTTATGATACACCTCCAGCTTCCCAGAGCACTGGCCCTCCCCTCCAATCAGTCTGAGAGGAACATGATCTAAAACACACACATCAGCACTGGCAGCTTCAGCACAACATTTACAACAAAACACACACTAATAATGAAGCTAGAGGCTTTTAAAACTGATTATTTTCTAAGGTAAATAATTCATATTTTAAAAATGCATCTATTAATAATTTAACCGTATTTGGCTAGGAAAATATAGGCTTACATTAACAAACATTCAAAAGATTTGTTGTGAATAAACTTACTTGCACACTGTCTCTGGTAAGGAGATGGTGAGGTAAAACATGTCAGACGACTCTGAGGCGACTCACGAGTTTCCTCCTCTGAGATTATAACAAAAAGAAAAAAAAGAAAAGTGAACAGAATATTAGTATGAGACATCTGACATCTCTCAGTGAAAACCAATTGTCAGGGTGAAAACTGCTAAACAGTTTACCCTCACAAATCATTTAACTCTTCCCATCAGCTCACTTTAGTTTTCAGAAACATTTAAGTTTACTTACCCCATTAGACATAAAAATGTATGTACAGAAGGGTGATTCTATAAATGCAGGAGAAACAAAAAATAATGACTATGGACACCAAACGTACCTGCAATTATAGAATCACCCAGAAGCATTATTATTGAGACCATTTTAAATTCTTTAAATATCATCCAACCTGAGCAGGTGATTTTGGCCACTTCATCTTCACCGCAGTCATTCTGTCCCCATGATGAAGATGGACACTGCCATAAAGTGGAATCATGTGGACGACATGTAACTTTATCCAGCCAGTTAGGAGCTGATTTCACTCGAATCAGAAAAATCACCAGATCTTCCACAGTTCAGCTCTTGACAAATCAGACTTGCTGTGTCTCTGTCCATCTTGTTGTAACATACATTACCCCAGGATCCATTATAGAAAACCTCCACATTCCCTTCACAGCCCTCAGTTAACCTGATCTCCTTAAACTCTAGATGGAAAAGGATGTGCATTAAAACAATTAAAATTCAGGTTGTGATAAAGCTAAAATATGTACCAAAACAGTGATTTAATATGAGGCTGATGCAAGCACTGATTGGATCTAAAAACAGATAACATATTAAAAATAGCTTCATAATTTGTTATTAAAATACAGAGAAATTCTGTATATATTTAAAATTATAAAGTAATTTACTCTCAAATCAATATTTTGTGTTGAAGTATTTGGTAAGTAGTCATGAACTATACAGTCAGACAGTCATCAACTCAAAACAAACCCCTTCTGACCCCTTTCGTTCCTGATCACCATGGAGTTTAATGATTACATGGTATATTTTCTGAAAAACAACTTTATCTTTGATAAACATTTCCTCTAGTGTACTGTTTACCTGAGCACACGACTCCTACATCCTCCTTGTGTTGACAGTCATGTTTTCCCCAGCCTGGAGAAGAGCAGCTCCACAGGGACGTCTCATTCCCCTCACACTCCACCTCATCCAGCCATATGGGTCCAGAACCAGGACCAAACCAGGCTGGTACCTGCTGGTTACTGAGGGCCACTCCACACTGCAGCTGTCTGCACACCACATGAGCATCTTTAATATCCCAGGAGTCGTCACACACTGTCCCCCATGAGCCGCTGTGAAAAACCTCCAGCCTCCCTGCACAGTCTCCCCCAGAACCCACCAGCCTGATGGACCTGTGACCTGATTTTCAGAGAAAGAAAAACACATTATTGACCACGAACAACTGAAGAATCTGCCCAGATGTTGTTTTTCTCACCAAGGCAGGTGATTGACAGCTGTTGTGTGGAGCTGCAGTTGAGAGTTTGTGGAGAGCTGCAGTTCCCCAGATGAGCTTCACTCCCAGAGCACTGGAAGCCCGTCACACACTCATGACTGTGTTCAGGACTGGATGAAGAGGAGCCGTAGAAGTTCAGCACAGAGCCACAGCCCAGCTGTCTGCAGACCACAGAGGATTCAGTGAGACTCCAGGAGTCCAGCAGAACTCTCCTCCAGACCTGATGGATGAAAACTTCCACCTCCCCCTCACACTGTCTCTCTCCAGATAACCGCACCAGACCATCATGAAGAGCCAGAGAGGAACCTGAAGAGAGTATTTATTTATCATTCAGTATTATTTTTCATAAGTATATATAAAATATATACTTAAACGTAGTTTTAGTCTGGAACCCATGACTTCATTGCAGCATGAATGGACTCACTAGAGCAGATGACTCCAACATCTTGTCTATGTGAACATTCAGCTCGACTCCATGAAGAGATGGAACATTCTGAGAGTTTTGTTTCATTCCCGTCACAATCAAACACATCAGCCCAGATTTCACCACTTCCCTCTCCAAACCAGTCTGATCCCACAACAGACACAGCAATCCCACAATTCAGCTGTCTACAGAGGACACTGGCAGCTCTCATATTCCAGCATGCATCACACACTGTGCCCCATTTACTGAAGTACTGACGTTCAACTCGACCAGAACAGATTTCAGGACCATTGACTAGTCTGAGGTCAGTGTAACCTGGACAAAGAACAGAGAACAGAGAGTTTAGTTTAACAGTATGAAAAAAGCAAGAAATGTGTTTTAAAAAACTAGTTTGTGATTCTCTCAATAATTAACTAATGCTCTATTACCAGAACATAACAGTCCAATGGCATTCTCATGGGTGCAATTTTGTTTGCGAGAAGATGATGTTGGACACAAAGATATATAGGATTCATTTCCTCTGCACTGAATCTCTTGTGTCCACATCTGAGCGTCTCCTTTGTCAAAAGCAGCTGCTCCCAGCACCTGTACAGGAGCCCCACAGTCCAGCTCTCTACACACAACCTCTGCATCCTGCTGGTCAAAGGCAGCGGCACACACTGACATCCACGTCTGATCATGAGGCACTTCTACTCTGCCAGAACAGCGAGATCCTCCAACCAGCCTGACTCCTTAAATAAAAAATGTACAAATTCGATGATATTTGCTAGTTCTTGTCCTAATATTACTTTATAAAGCTAAACCAGACGCCTTTCATCAATTGTCAGCAGTTTTTTTGTGTGTGTGCATAAAATTTACATAAAATTCTTGTATTTTTTTGCACATGAGAGTGAATATGTTTCTCATTTAATGGATATCAGAAAAAAAAAAGTGAACAAAATGCACCCAGCATGTCACTAAAATGCATTTTGTCTGTGAAATGCTCAATCTTTGTATGAGATACTATGTATTTTTGATTCACAAAAGGAATCGTCTGGAACAAAAAATGCATTTTGTCCACAAAATGTTTTTTGTGTTTTCCATATCGTCATTCAGCATGTCACATAATACTTATAATACATAATACTTCACTCCTCACAGACACCTGACATAACACTGAATGTGGAGCAAAAAAATGTATCCATCCTGGAATTCTGTGGGAGAAAAGATTAGTAATTATGAAATAAGTAGATGATCTTACCAGAGCAGATGACTCCAGCATCTTCAGCATGATTAGCTTCTATTCCCCATCCATTGAATCTACAGCTTGTCAATGTAAACTCTGATCCAGTACACTGTAAACTTGAAACCCAGACTCTTCCTGATCCTTCTCCAAAGTGAGCACTCTTTGGTGCAGTTAAAGCCTCTCCACAGCCAAGCTCTCTACACACCACTGCAGCATCAGGCAAATCCCAGCCAACATCATGCACTGTTCCCCACTGACCTCTATGAAGAACCTCCACTCTACCAGCACAGCGACTGTTACCACCTACTAATCTCACTGTTTCTGAAGGTAAAAGAACACAAGAAAGATAAAGTAAGTTGTTTTATTTATTTATTTTTTACTATATTATATTATATATTTTGTCAATACTCATAGTTCATATGTCGTTAACCTACCAGCACATGCAACGCTCACATCGTTCTCATGGGAACAAAATTGTAAAGGTGATGCTGGACAAAGAGCAAACTGATACTCATTTCCTCTGCACTGAATCTCTTGTGTCCACATCTGAGCGTCTCCTTTGCCAAAAGCAGCTGCTCCCAGCACCTGTACAGGAGCCCCACAGTCCAGCTCTCTACACACAACCTCTGCATTCTGCTGGTCAAAGGCAGCGGCACAGACTGTGTACCATGTGTTCCCATGAGGCACCTCTAATCTCCCAGAGCAGCGAGAACCTCCAACAAGCCTGATGCCTGAAATGTTAGTCATAACAAACTGTTAAAAGTCATAATATAACATTAAAAAAATTCCCCAAAATTTATATACTGTACTAGGAGAGGAGTGTTGTGGTGTTGTGCTCAGGCTTTTGCCACAGATTAAAGTTGTTTTGAAATCTACAACTTTTCTTAAATTATTTAGAGAGTAGTGTTGTTACAGCCCTAGAGTAACATGTGGGGTCCGTGCAGGTCCTGCTACATTTGACACACTGGGTTGACTAGGGGCGTAGCAATATATTTTGTCACAATATGAAATGAAAGTTTAGACATTTAATTTAGCATCAAATATAGTAATGGTGCATTAAATATGGTAAACCCAAAAGGTCACACATTTGAGCTTTCATGTTTATTATTTATTAATATTATTATTATTTATTAATAAATGAAAAATAAAATGCATAATTTAATAAAATGTAGTCGGGGACAGAGTGTAAGAATACGTGCTTAACATAATTCTGTATTTTTAGCTAAGCAGAATCATTTAATATGTCTATTCTGGTGTCACCATTGCCTTGCGCATGGGGGAGAAGGACTAAGTCCAAGCCTATTCAAGTCCTTGATGTAATACCAAATTTAGCATTTTGTTGAAAAGTAACATTAATAGAACATCAGTTTGAATTGTGTATATTAATTAATTTTGTTCATTAAAATGTTAAGGTTCTTAACATATAGGTGAAAGTGTAACATTTAGAGTAAATATTAAATATGAAATTACACAAGAGAGTTTCAGGTAATGTACTGTATTTAAACATTAACCTAACCACAATTCAAATCATAAACCTTTATTATTATTATTTTTTCATGCACTGTAGATCCTTTATATTTTTACACAGAGACTTTCAACTTCTGCTTTCACCTCAAATCATACAGTGGTCATATGACTGGTATAATATTGAGTGAGTTCTCCCCTGTAGCTCAATTCTAAATGATTAAACTCACCCTGTATTACATCACTCCTTTGACTCTCCTAATGGTTTAAAGTCTGATTTAAATAATCTACTTAGTACATGCATGCTTTTATTATAGTAAATAATGTATTTATTTGTTAATGAAAGGTAGTGATAAAATCAGCCTACCTGAGCAGATAATGCCAACATCTTCACTATGCTCACAGTTATGGTCACCCATTTTTTTTTTTGAGCAATCAAATATTGAGGACTCAGATCCACTACATATCACATTATCCATCCAGATTTTTCCTGATCCTGGTCCAAAGTGAGCAGCACGCATTGTGTTTGAAGTTTCGCCACAGCCCAGCTCTCTACACACCACTGCAGTGTTTGTCAAATCCCAATAATCATCACACACGGTTCCCCATTCTCCACTGTAATAAACCTCCACCCTACCAGCACAGGAATTACTACCATCCACCAGCCTCACATTTCCTGCAAGATACAGAAAGATGTATATAAAATGTATCTGAGAGAAGACAAACAACAACAGAGAAAAGTCAGCAAAAGAGAGAGGAACAGAGAAAATGACCATGAGAAAGAAATTAACTTTTATATTAGTGCAAATACTAGGGGAACTATAAATTATATTATGACCTATTTATATCACAAACACAAACAGTCAATCACTATAACATAACTAACATATAACGATCATGAGTGTGTACGTACCAGCTGTGGTGAGTTTGATCACAGAAGACAAAAAAATGAGAGTTAGACAGTTCTCCATCTTTACTGATCATACACTCTGTTTGATCAACTCTGAACTGAAAGGTTCAAGAGAGACAGATACAGAAAGCTACACAACCACCAAACAA